GTTGGTGTGTTGTGTTTTTTTGTTTTTTTTTCCCCCCCCCCCCCCCCCCCCCTGTTTTACCCATAATGTCTCTGCTGACTGTGCATATGGGGCTTTTGGCTTCCTTCCTTGGGGTTTCCAGACTAAGCCTATTTGCTTCCTTTCCCTGTGCCCACCCCCCTCTTTTTCCCCTCCTTTCTCTTTTGCTTCTCTCCTCCTCCCCTTTGTTTTAGTAACCCTCATAGTCTGGGAGGGAGCTCTGCACAATCGGGCATTCCAGCGTACTGCCAAAGGGGCCTGTCTCTCTCTGTACTTGTTTGGCCGCCTGCCCAGAACTGGGGAATACACGGAGCAGGAGAACAGAAAACGGGAGTCTCCTGCCAGCACAGCCCTTTGCAGAGTCAAGACGTGCTGCAGACGAGGAGCCTGAACACAGCTTTTCCCAATGATTTTTTTTTTTTTAAACCTTTGGCTTTGGGATTGGAAATTTACTGATGGGGTTTTTTTTGTTGTGTTCTGTTTTGTTTTTTTTAATCATGTGGAATTAAGAAAATGCCTTTTAGCAGTGTGGGGAAGGAAACTATAAGCATTTGGAAGTCCCAACCATTGTCTGCCTGACTACAGGGAATCATATAAAAGGCTTTGAATATGAGTTGCTTCCCTTAAAGTGCTTTTCTCCCATAGTGAATGTTTTAAAGCTGTGTGGGTTTTGGCTCGCAAGGAAGGGCAGGCCAGGGAAGCTCAGTGTCATCCTGTCCTGCATCACCAGTGTTTGTCAAAACAATGGTGTGGTAAGGTATCCCAGTCTCTCTAAACAAGCAAGGCAGAAGGAGCCCTGATCATTAGCCATTTTTTTTTCCCCCCTCCTGAGCATCCCAACGTGGCTGTTGCGTGGTAGGGAGGCTGAGGAGGGGAAACAAGTCAGCTTGGGGAAACTGACCACCATACTAAGTGTGTCATCCTGGTGAAGTCATACCAGGAGTTTCAGAATACAGGGAAATTCCAGCATTTGTGAAAGTTATTGTTCTATGGCACTGGGGGACTTCTGAAGGGCTGGCTGGTGAAACCAGCTTTTACTTTCAGGTAGGAGTGTTCATGGTGGTATGATTGTCCTAGTGCCTGCCTGTCTCACTTTATCTCCTGATGACTGCGTGGACAGTCTGCCAGGGATGAGCTAAATGCAAGTTTCTGTTCTGGAGTCAGAACTCTGGGTAGAGCTGATCTCTCTTATTACACCAACTAGATATTTGCAAAACAAATCTTTTATTTGCAAGCTTTCAGGCATGCTCCCCCTTCTTCAGGCATAGGAGAATTGAAAGATTATAAAATTTCTCCTAGGTGGAAATGTAAATTCATATTTTTCTTCTGTGATTTCCACTCTAATAATTGGGAAAGTAGGGAAGGGAGTTAACTGAAATGATACCTGAGCACTTCCTTAATCTCCTCTTCTCTTTGATTTGAGTATAATTGTCAGGGCTACCTCTATTCCAGTCAAGTATATATTCCTCTGACAATCCTGGCAAGAATAGCTATAACTAAGTGTGACTTTTTTGTTTTAACATGGAGTAAACTTTTTCTGCACTGCACAGCATGGTCCTGGAAGTTTCCCCATAATGAGCGCAGGCTCATCAGCATGCTGTGTTCAAACTAGATATGTCAGGTAATTTGAATATCTCTTGCTGTAGCTCCTCCAGCACTAACTGGTTAACATCAAACTTGCAACTCTTTCAGTAGAGGGGTACATTTAGTTGAGGGTGTTTGGTGGTGTGCTGTTCCTGTCTGCAACTTGATAGGAGTAAACAAAGTAAGTGAAGAAGGTTTTTAAGGGGTGGGTAGGTAGGGGGAAAAGATGACAAAGCATCTTAAGCAATAGCATAACTCCCCTGCTCTAAAAGATTTTTCAGCTACCAAGAACTCTGGTAATGGACCAGGAATGATGGGCAGGAAGATTTCTCCTGTAAGTCATAGCCAGGGGTATCGGTGTCTTCCGACTTCCACCCTCCCCGCTCCCCATTGCTGGCTCGCCTTTTACCCTCTATCTGAACTACTTCTGTATCTGAGTTCTAGTTACCTCAGGCTTGAATGGAGGCTCTGAAATGGGTTCTGCAATGGTTAGGAGGTGGTGTTGGTTGGGGAGGCAGAAGAGAAGCTTTTTATCTAGTGTCTCTTGGCCACTCTCTCCCTCTGAGTTTCTCTTTAGTATTAGATGTATTAGCACTGTGAAAAGTGCTGACTGAAAATACTTGTGATAGCTGACTTTCTTTTCTTCCCTGACTCCCCTCCCCCACCCAGAGACTTCATCAGACTCGTTTAAGATTGGGGCATACATCCTCATTGCAGTTGGGGCTGTTACCATACTGATGGGCTTTCTGGGCTGTATTGGAGCTGTCAATGAGATCAGATGTCTTTTGGGTGTGGTAAGTGAATTACTGCTATTGTTTATGCATGCTTGTGGCTTCTTATATAACTTTCTCCCAGTATGCCTTTCCCTTCTGCTTCAGTTGTAGCCCTGGACCTGGTTAGCAAGCTACTTTCTTTGAACGGGCAGGAGTTTGGTATTTGCAACCCTAAGTGAGGCATTGCCCTCATGTTTGGGGCTTTAGCTGGGCTGTCATCTCTACAACCTCCTGCAATCCCTGTGGTAAAACGATTCCCTCTTCAGGCATCCAGCAGTTATAATCGGCTAGAGGGAAATGCCCTAAGTGTTTTTCCCCCTAGCTCTTTGCAGGACGAATAAGTAAAAGGTAGGGAGCGAGGAGACCTGCTTCTACTGCAGTGCCAGGCTTAGCTGTCATAAGGAATGCACAAGACTTAAAATTGAAAGTGACTGAAAACCCCAGTGCTAACATTCATTCTGAGTGCTCCTGGACTTCAGCCAAGACCATACAACATGCCTCAGTCTGGTACCCGGAACAGTGTCTGGAAGTCCTGGAGCTGGAACAATAAAGGTGTTTGGGTGGGGGTGGGGGGAAGTGGGACAGGACTGGGATGAGGATACGATGGTCCTGCATCAGCATTTGTTAGATTAAGAAGCTGCAGATTGCTCTGCTCCCTCTTGAAATCTACTGATGTTGGGTACCCCCTGCAGTCTGTGGCTGAAGTGCATTGGCAAGGAAGCCTGGGAAGTTGATTATAGCTGGTTAAAGCAGCTGTTTACTCATTTGCAACCAAGAATCGCAAAACATGAAACCTGCTTTAGTTCTGGTATGAAAGACCTGTATCCCCAGGATTTGTCTTCAGGGCCTGTAAAGAAAAGAAACCTTGCTCTTAAACTGGTCAGGACTGGGAGCTTTTCCCTTGCAACTCTAGCCTATGAAATCCTACTTGGAGACTCTTGCTAATAGCAGTGAGCTCTGAGACGGGTCTCTTTACAGACAGCACTCTGGGAAGTCAGTAGAACTCACCCTTTCTCTCCTGTTTTGTTTCTAGTACTTCACCTGCCTGCTGTTGATCTTCCTGGCTCAGATTGCTGCTGGGCTGCTCATCTATTTCCAGCAAGACAGAGTAAGTGTTACTTTCCCTATCTGTTCTGAAGATAGCGCGGGTGAGAGAATCTCTGCACCGTCCCTCCACAAGACACGTTGTTGGAAGACCTGAGAGTCCTTGTTGTTCCAGTCTGAGCTGTATCATCTTTATGCAAACCAGTGGGACTTTCTCGTCTCCACCCACCCACCCATACGCACCCACCTACCCTGCTGTGTACCCCGCTTCTGATGCAGCATCTTGCACTCGGGGAAACAAAGCTTTATGCTTCTTATCAAAAGTGCAAAGTATCTGATCCTCCCCAGCATCTAGCCTGGAGTTACAGACTGAATCAACAGGGATCATTGGAACTCTTTTCATTCTGACTTCACTGCTGAGCCATTCTCTATTTTGAACTTTCACTGTTGCTGGCTAGACACTGCTGCAGACCTTTCTGCATTCACCTCGTACACTTTCATGGGAGGAAGTGCATATATCAAGATTTGACTTGGAGATTGAGTGAGATTGTGCTTGTAAATGCATATTGCAGTAGTACGAGGTCGGTTGCTCTGCTAAACATTCAAGATTAATGAAGGAGAGGGCAGCATCCAGACATGGCTGTTCCTCTTGTTTCTAGTGCAGCTGCTTAGTTCTCCAGTGTATCACCTATTGCCTTGCATTCCTAGACTTCTTGCCCTCCTGCTGTATGGCTCTTCTATCCCCACCTGTTCCTGGGTTAGGAGGACTATTCTACTCTTCTTAATGTTTCTACCTCTACTCTGAGTCTACTGAAGGGGCATCTAACAGGTTGCTGCACCAAGGAATATCTCTTAAATGGTGCTGTCTTTGTTTTAGCACTTCGTCATTTCTGGAGCTTGAAGGAACAACTCTGCAATATCTCAGTCCCAGCTATAGGTTATCAGGCCTCTAGCTACTCAGTACTTCATCTGGCTAAAACGAGGGCTGTATCTGGACATAACAGGGAATTACAGCTATGCTAGCTGTCCTCTCTGGCCCACAGGGAAGCTGCTGTAATCCTGTGGTTACAGGGTTATCTTGGGCTGATGTGTGGCCTTTCACGAGTTATAAAACCCTGGTACTGGTGGCACCGTGAACAGCCTTAGACAATGTGTGGGGGGGGGAAGCTGCTTGTCTTTAATTCCTTGCAACGGGCTGCAGTGATTCTAGAGCTGGCTTCTGACAGTTTGTGGTATAAACATAGCTTTATCTCCGTTGTTTCTGTTGCAGCTGGGGGAGGAATGGAAACAGTGATCAGCTGGTGTGAGGCACACAGCAGACTTCCGAGGGAGCCATAGCTTTCTGGTTCTGAGCAAGTGGCTCTTGCACACAAAGTTCCAGGAGGGGGAGGAGGGGAGTGAGTGGCTCAGGGTGAACGAGGCAAGCATGTTTCCTTGCTCCCTTCTGCCCTTCCTTTTGCTTTAAAACTGAAGGGTTTTGTCCAACTTGCAATGTTTAGCAAGTGTCTATAATTAGGAGGGGTGGAAGGATTTCTAGGGAGTACTTCAAGAAGGATCCCTGCAGTAAAGTCCAAGCAGCTATGCCACTAGGTGTATGTACCAGCAAGACTGTCACCTCTGCAGATCCTTTGGAGCAGAGGGCATGAGTCAGACCTCCCAGATGAAATTCCAGGTGCTTCCATCCTGCCTCTACAGGCTGCTACATGAACTCCCTGAGGAACTCCCTTCACAAAAGCACAGTGGCAGAAAGATCTTTGAGTTATTATTGATTCCAAAATGAACATGGGGCACCAATGTGAGGACACAGTCAGTAAGGCTAATGGCACCTTGTCATGTATCCACAGATGCATCATGAGCGGGTCCAAGGAGGTGATCCTCCCCATCTATGCGACACGGGTCAGGCCGCAGATCTGGACTGGATCCAGTTCTGGGCACCGCACTTCAGGAGGGACATGGCCAGTATCAAGAAGGTCCAGAGGAGGGCCACTCGCATGATCAGGGGGCAGCAGGGCAGACCATATGAAGAAAGGCTACAGGACCTGAACTTGTTCAGCCTTCACAAGAGAAGGCTGAGACAAGATCTGGTGGCCATCTATAAACTTACCAGGGGGGACCAGAGGGGAATGGGTGAGATCCTGTTCCCCCAAGCACCTCCCCAGAGTAACAAGGAATAACGGCCACAAGTTGATTGAGAGTAGGTTCAGGCTAGACATCAGGAGGCACTACTTCACAGTTAGGGCAGCCAGGATCTGGAATCAGCTTCCAAGGGAAGTGGTGCTGGTTCCTACCTTAAGGGTCTTTAAAAGGAGGTTTGATAATTACCTAGCTGGGGTCATATGAGCTTAAACTTACTAGGGGTCTGGGCAGGGGGTCGGACTCGATGATCTGCTCAAGTCCCTTCCGACCCTACATCTATGAATCTTTCAAAGGATCTTTGAAAGTGGGGGTGCTGCCTGATTTGTGTGGTGTGTATATAAGATGCATCTTTTGAAGCAATGCCATATAGAGTGTTCTGAGCTACAACTCTCTCAGCATGGCCTGCTGTGCCTCAGTTAGCAGCCGTACTTCAGTGGTGCTGTGGCTGTTCATTTTGCTAGCTGTCAGGAAGATGGTAGTTGAATAAAGCAGAACTGGGGGCAGGGGAACAGGAGGCTGAAAAGTACTAGCATGCATTGGACTTTCCAACCACTTCCCCTTCACAGTTCAAGAAGTTTGGCTAGAAATAAGCTGGAGGATGAGGGAGGTTCACAAGGAGGGGACATTCAGATATGAGAGATGCAGTTGATAAACCTGTACAAAGCTGATAAAGCTTTGTTTTACAACGGACAGAACCTTTGTTGTCTACTATCTTTTCAATAGTTGTCGGCTTTAGTTGATGGAATCTCTTCTTTTTCCTTCTTCAGTATTTTGCTGCGGGTAGAGGAGCACATTCAGGATTTTTTTGTTCTTTCCCTTTGGTTTTCAGGTTCTGGCCCATTGCATGAAAAAGTGAAATGTTTTATCGTGTGTGGCTGCCCATGCAGCCCAGGGTGCTTGCAAAAATTTTAAGCCCTTCTGAAGGGAAAGCTTCTAGACAGCAGTGTCCACAGGAGGGTAGAGTGTTTCTTGATGGGAATTTCCTGGCAGTACCTCCTTGAATGAGGTGCAAAGCTGTTTGCAGAACATTCTACGTTCCTCTTTGCTTTTCTTATTAATGAAAATATGGCCTCTTATCAGCTGGTGTTTCTTCTCCCTGGAGGGTGGAGGAGTTTTTGGGGGGGTTTCCACGATAGTGACATGATTCAGAAAGTTTATTTGGTATGGTATCACCACCCTTCCATAGATGACTATCTGAACACAAACCAAACAAGTCTACAGCTGTAGCCTAGGGTACAATTGAGGACTGCTACAACTTATTTCAGACAATTTTTTGTGAGATTTTTCCTTGTGGCCTGGCTGTAAAGGCTCTTGAGTGAAAAGAACAGTAGTCATTTTGAGACTGGCAATTTTTTATGCCCTAGTTGCTACCTATTGTTATGTACATGGATGTTTGTTTGCAGAGACTTGCCTGTGGCCATAACCTGCATTAATGTCAGGATCTGAGCTCATTTTGGGAGGGGAGTCTTGTTTCTTGACCTGTGATTAAAAATTGGACTTGACAAATGCAAGGAAAAAGTGCTGCAGGGAATGATTTAGCACAGGACCCAGAGAGATGGACTGGATGATCCATGAGCCTCCTCCATCACTATGCTACACGAGTCATGCAGTAGGTGAGACTAAAAGCTAGAGACTTGGACTCGTACCACCACCCACCTAACTGCATTGGTGACTAGGAAAACTGAACCAACCAAAATGGAAGGAAGCTGAAAAATTTTCTGCTTTCTGGCTGACCACCAGTCCCCAGGGGCGTAGGGGAAGATCTGTTGAGTAGCTGTACGCAAATTTTTTTCAACATTTTTCTTTTTTCTTTTCTTTTTTCAGCTCACTGCTCATTTTAGTTCCCTTAGAAACACAGAGGGTAAGGGGTTTAGTGGTAGATACGTGCATTCTTCCTTGCTCTGCCAGTTAGACTTAAGAACAAATGTAGAACAGCCTGTTCACAAGAAATAATACTACACTGTGTAATTAAAATACCTCTCAGAAACACTCAACAGTACCAGATTAGGAAGTAAAGTTTCTTGGAACTGGGGTTCAAAAACCTCAGTCTGTAGCTTATGATACTCTTTTTAATGCTCAAGGCACCAAAGCATGCAATAAGTGCAGGGTGTACAAAGTAATACCTGAGCATAACTGGAGTTTTCCCTGAAGCTCCAAGGTGCTTGGCCCTGAAACAATACTCCAGGTCCATGTTCCCATATGCTGAGCATTGCACTGAAGTTGTGCATAGCAGTAGAGATGATAACAACCCCAGGACTGAATCCTCTGGTGTTCAGGGGCTTACATGGATGACCTTTGACACTGTGTGGGCTAAAAGTTGGCCTGGTGAATCTTGGTGGGGTAGGGGGTGGGGACATGGCAGAAATAGCTCTTTCCTATCTCCTGCACTTACATACTTTTTTGTATTCTTGGCAAGATCTTTGAGAAAATAGTTAAAGATTCCATTTGCGTGGAACCAGCTGATAAAGTAATGCTAAGGGGCAATCGGTATGGGTTCATAGCAGGCAGATCCTGCCTGACCAACCTAGTTTCACTGTACAACTGGGTCACAAAATACTTGGATGAGGGAACAGAGGTAGATATTGTTTACCTAGACTTTAAAAAGGCCTTTGACACAGTGTCACACTCAGTTCTTATAAATAAACTAAAAAGCTGCAATGTAGATTATTACACAGTCCGGTGGGTGGAAAATTGGCTTATAGGACACACCCAGAGAGTGGTGGTAAACGGGTCAGTTTCTACCTGGGGGACGCCGCTGCCTACATTTCTCCAAGGCTCTGTCCTGGGACCAGTACTAGTCGATATTTTTCATTAGCAACTTGGATGAGGGAGTAGTAAGCGCCCTGTCCAGGTTTGCTGATGACACTGATCTATGGGGAGAGGTAAACGCACTAGAGGGCAGGGAGCAAATCCAAGCAGATTTGGACAGGCTGGGGAGGTGGGCGGAACAGAATAGGATGAAGTGTAACAAAGATAAGTGTCATGTGTTGCACCTGGGGAGGAAGAATCATCAGCACTCCTATAGCCTGGGAGAGACCATTCTAAGCAGCACAACTGCGGAAAGGGACCTCAGAGTCCTAATCGACTCCCAAAATGAACACGAGTCACCAATGTGATGAGGTAATAAGTAAAGCTAACTGCACTCTTTCTTGCATAAGTAGGTGTATCACAAACAGGTCTAGGGATGTGATACTTCCTCTCTATGCGGCATTGGTCAGGCCGCAGCTGGAGTACTGTGTCCAGTTTTGGTCGCCGTACTTCAGGAGGGATGTGGATAACCTGGAAAGGGTTCAGAGGAGGGCCACCCATCTGGTTAAAGGCCTACAGAAAACCCCACTATGTGGACCGATTGGGAGACCTGAACCTCTTTAGCCTCCACAAGAGGAGGCTGAGAGGTGATCTTGTGGCTGCCTACAAACTCGTCAGGAGGGGTAAGCAGGAAGTGGGGAATAAGAGGTTTACTAGGGCAACAGTCTTGGTAACTAGAAACAATGGATGCAAGTTAAGAGAGCAAATTCAGGCTGGACATCAGGAAAAAGTTCTGTACAGTGAGGGTCACCAAAATATGGAATAGGCTTCCAGTGGAGGTGGTGTTGTCCCCTTCCTTGGAAATATTCAAAAGGAGACTGGAAAGACACCTGGCTGGGGTCATCTGACCCTAATAATTATGAAACTGTGTGTGGGGGAGGTCCAGAGTTCAGAAACCTGTAGACTTTATTGCACTAGCCAGGTGCAGTCCCGTTAGTGGCAAGCAGTTCAAGTGGCTTTGATTCCTGTAATTGGGTGGGGAAGCGTGTTTGCCAAGTAATTAAGGAGAAGCAGGGAGACGATGTGTCTCCTATCTGTCTGAATGGCATGCAGCAAGCCAAGTTGAATATTTTATGTTGTTGAGGCGGGGGGGAATATGACTAACCATGGCCTTGACAAAATTTTGGTAATGAGATGGCCTCTGCTGTTGCAAATGGAGATCAAATTGCTAGGTCTCCCTGTGTTTATCAGGGCCAGCCAGTCTGGAGCACTCTGTGCCCAGAAAGAAGTCTTGAAACCTGCTGGGATGGTCCATAACTACCAACTAGGAGTGAATGCTGACTCTGGCATCATTTTAGCTTAACTATGTCCACTATCAGGCTGGTTTGGGGCAGAAAGGGGCATAACAAATGTTTTAAGATGGATACTAATTCTAGCCCCAAACTTTCTGATGTTTCTTTTAGCTTCCTGTGCTCTTTCTTATATGGGTCTGCCCCTTTCCTGGAAGCTGTTGCTGTAATCACAGTAATGATGGAGATCATGAAACTCTTTGAGAAAGGGTTGGCGCTCAGGGAATGAGGCTTGCCTGAGTGATGAAGGGCCCAGTTTGCCCTTTTTGCCAGGCTCTAGGTTGGTGTACACTGCAGTGGTTAAGGGGGCCTGTATACTGACAGCAGATGGTCCAGACACTGAACACCAGAAATGCAGCTGTGATTTCTAGCTGGGAGGATTACTGGGCTTTTGGACTGATGCATAAGTTGGCTACTGTTAGAGTACAAAAACTTTCTTTTAGATATACCAATTGGCCTGAGAAGTTCTGACTCATGGTACCAAGTGCAAATACCTGGGTGGCTTACTTTAAACAGAACAAGATGGTGTCCCAGGGTAGAATCTAGCATTCAGTGAGGCCTCTCTTGTCTTCTAGTTCAAGCAACCATGACCTGTATTGCCTACTTGCTATTGTGGTAACACTGCCCCTTTTTGGCGTTTTTTTTTATATTCCTAGTGTAGTGCTCAACAGCACTTGTAACCCTACTCCCCCCTTCTTAGCCTTCATCTTACTATGCTAAAGAATACTAGCTTTTCTAGTCTTCTCTTGTAAAACAGATTTTCCAGCTCTTTCATAGGGTAACCCTTCTGCACCTGTTCACGTTCAAGTTGACTTAATTCAAACTTGGATGACTGGGATTGAATATAGTATTCCAGTTGTTGGCTACCTGGCTCCTCATACTTTCTTTTCTTTTCATTTAAGCCCCTGGTTAGTGCAAGTATTTCCTGACCTACTTCCTTCATGTCATCCCTATAACTTGCACTCTTCCTCTCCCTTCAACTTTTTCATGTCCGTCACTTCTCAATATCTCCCATGCAAAATGTATGAACAGCCATCCCAGTCTGGCCTCCCTGGCTTTCTCAAGGCTTTGCAAATCTAGTCACTTCCTGATGTAATTTGTGGTGTCAAGAGGTGCATTCAGCATCTATATGTGAATGCCTGTATCTTGTACTTATGCCTTTCTTATGCTCTGCTACCATGTTTTTACATCTTCTTTTGTAATATACACTTGGTTTTGTTTTTCCTCCCAGCAGTTTAAGATCACCTTTCTGTTTCTGTAGCAAGGTCCTCTGCAAATAGTGGTTCCCATGGTAAGCCTCTGCAAGCTAATGAACATGCAAGAGAGGTCTTTCTCTCCACTTGCTCCTGATTCACATGCTCAAAACCCAGAACTGAGTCAGTGAGGGCACCTACTGACATGTTCCTAGTGTGCTTGAGAACAGTGACAGGCAGTGATGGAGCAAGGGTTGGGAAATGGAGGTAAAGCACTTCGCCCAAGGCTGAATAGTGAGTTGTACAGGTGGATGATAACATCCCGGCTTTAATTCTGAAGAAGTAAGTAAAAGGTTAAGTGCATGCGTAGAAGCACTGACTCGCTGACTTCTTGTGTTTTTTACATTGCCAGGTAAAAAATGAAATGTCCACCGTGGTCCAAAGCTTGATTCAGGACTACGACCCTGACAATGAAGAGAAAAAGAACATCCAGGATGCATGGGACTATGTGCAGAAACAGGTGAGTTGCTGAGGAAGGGCTAGTTTGACTCTTTCATACTGGTATCCTAGTGGGGCATTGCTAGAACGAGATGGCCTCTGGCACCTGCGCTCTCATTCAGCCTCCCACAGTTCCAGCCCCATGCTCATTGTCCTTTAATACTGTTCTGAAGGCCCTGAGCTCTTTAACACCACCTTTTTATCCCCACCTCTGCACTCCTATGGCAGTGGAACCCAAGAACTGCCTTTCCCGTTGTGGGTTTGCTCTGTCTTGAATCTCTTGCAGTTTGGCTTTGTGGCTATTGTTTCAATGTCTTCTCCCAGGCTGCAGCCTCTACCTAACATGCTAGGATGCGGTTTCTATAAAGGGCTCTTCCTTGAGCAGTCCTCTACAGAAAGCACAAATGACTGCTTGTAGCCAGTGAGAACTGAGATGGCTGGGGCAGGGCAGCCCACTGGCCTCTGCCATCTGGCTGACCAACACAGTGGTTAACCCAGGATTTGGGTGCTTGTCTGCTTTGAGACCATCTTGGCTGCTAGCCTTAAATGCGGTACACTTGCTGTGATTTGTAGAACCAGTTGCTATTTTCTACCTAATGAAAGGGGTCCCTGGCACTGGGCAACACTGGGAGGAGGAAAAAGAAAAAACTCCCTTTACCGTAATCTGCATAGTATCCAGTTTTCCTCTGTGCTGCCCCCTTGTCCCCCAACAATTAAGCCATGGTTTTACCCAAGTAAAAATGGCAGTAAAGGGTGAATCTCTTGGTAGCACACTTAATGGCAGACAATCCAGAAGCTGCTGCTTCTGTCACTTCTTTCCTGGCATGCAGTGTTTCTGTGCAGTGCTGACTTATCTGGAAGGTGTCGGCTTTGCTTGGAATTGTCCAGCTACAAACGGGTTTAACTTTGGTCAAGTTGCTGCCTCAGCAGCTGGCTAGGAAAACTTTCTCAGCTGAACATTTAAGAGCATATGTTTTGTGTAGTGCCAAACCAAAGAGCTCTTCAGGCAAACAGGAAGTGAGCCCAGCCCCCAGTTTTTTGCATTTGCATTTTTTGTCTTGTTAATTGCAGGATGTGTGTCGGATGTAAGAGCAAGGCATGGTTTCCTTATTGCCATGGCTTTTGCCTGTTTCTATGTTGGTTCTGCTTTGAGGGATAGACTGCATTACCTAGGCTTCCTTGAAGTCTTGTGCTGTACCTACATCTTAGCATCATGGTTGTGCCACCCTTTTTACTGACAGTCGCAGCAGAGGACAGGCTGGGCTGTGGAGAGTGGACTTCCCTCCTTTGCACCTGCAGTGTTTTATGGTGTGGGTAAATAGCTTCAGTCTCTTGACTCATGAGTGGCCCAGTGGGCTTTGTGTGTGGTATCTCTGCAGTAGTACATCGTGGTATATGTCAAGCTGTGGTGTTCAGACTCGCACCACTCCAGGGAGTTCTGATGTTCTTCCTGGGACTCCTTCAATGAAGCTAAAATATGTTGGTACTAATGTTAAATACCAAATGCTGATACTCTGGATTTTCTTTACCCTTGTCCCAGATTTTTTTTAACGACCCTTTTCTATAAATTTCAATAACTACCAACAAAAATTTTCCTGTTTGGTCTGTGAGGGTCAGGCAAAATATGTTTATCTATCAATTTTAAACATTGAATCCTGCCAAGCCTAAGTATTATCCAGGTGGAGGCATGTGGTAGCGGTGTTGTGTGATTTCTTTTGATTTATTCCACCCCTTTCCCCCTTAAGTGCTGGTATCTCGTTCTTTAAATCAATAATCTAAATACCAGATTTCCTCCTGGGTCACTTTTGGCAAACTTTGTTCCATTCTTTGGCAGAAGCATTTGGATATGTGAGTGGCAGGTGTGGTATAAGGCAGCCTACTAGGTCACACGCCTAGAACTTGGCCTTTTTAGACTCTTCCGCTCTACCTCCTAAGCCTACAAATGCCCATCTCCTGGAATCTCTTTACAAATAGAAATTTCTGTTCCCAGGCTTGTCTTGTAAACTAGTCCTGCGCCACGTTTGAATAGCTGGCTGTATTATTAATAACATTGTTGGGCCTGGAGTTTCAGGCATAAGTGCACCATCTTGTGGTGATTGGTTGCTGTTGACAGTTGAGTTGGGCAGTCTATGGGTGGACTTGTGTTCCAAAAATTACTTTATCCTTCCCTCCCAAATCTTAAGTAAATATTCAGTTTGGCCAATTGCTTAGATGCTTTAAACATTTTTAATGGTCTCCTTCTGATTCTGGGCATGAGTCTGTCTCAAACCTACCACATGTAAATATCTACCATCCTTAGCCAAAATGCTGTCACTTGCATGTGTTACCCCTTCTTCCCCTCTTCCCCACCACCTCCTTCAGCTTTGACTTTTTTATGAGATGAGGTTGGTGTTAAGATGGCTCTTCAAAAGCAGTATGGAAAACAGTAAAGATGGACATAAGCATAAGAAATATATAGAAATATAAATTTTAATGACCTAGGCTGCCATCAAGAGGTGAGGCTTATGAAGAATAGATGTTGTAAGGCAACTTTTGATGCTATGGTGCATTCAAACCAGGTCTTGTAATGTCCGTGGTTTGGTTTCAGTTTCTGGATTGAAGACTGACCATGAAGCAAGTTATGGTCTAAGCCAGTGGTTCTCAACTGGGGTGCTGTAATGTTGGTGCTGCCCTTGCTGCGGGGTGAAATTCCCTCCTGTGCCTCTATTTTCAGGAGGCATATGGAGCTAAATGGAGAAGCAGCTGCAGCAGAAAGGTGTTCCTCCTGCATTACACTATGCAGGCAGGTGCACTGTTTCTGACACAGCTGTTCCTGATTTGAAAGTGGAGGAGCATGGGACAGTTCCCACCCCATGGCAGTGGCCTGGAGATAAATGCTGCTGCCACTGGATAGAACCACCCCATACACTTCTGTTCAGGAGGCAGGTTGGAACTGAACTGGGAAGAGCTGCAGTGGAAATGGCCTGCTTGGCTGCATAATGTAATGTAGTTGGTGCACCTTTCTGCTGTAGCCATTTCTTAGTTTGGCTCAGATGCGTGTCATGAAAATAGAACTGTCCTGCACATCTGTTTCTGGGAGACGCCATGTAAGATTGGATTGGGAGGGGCTGCAGCAGAAGGGTGACAGGAGTATGCACCTTTGGCTCTGCACTCTCTGGGTCCACCTAGCTGCGGCAGCGGTGGCCGTGGGGTTAGTGTAATATAAGATCTCGTAAATGAATAACTGATTAATACTTAACCATAATATTAGACAATACTATGTTATGCTATTCAGAATACATTTCAGCATGTCATGGTACCCTATTTAAAAAGCTAATATAAAAGTTTTGAAGGGGTACCCTCAGTGTAAAAAGATTGAGAAACACTGGTCTAAACACAGCAATATCCTTCAGTACCTAGCTGTGCAAATGACACTGATAAGGTAGTTGCCTCATGAACGCATGTTCAATATGACCTTGGGATGCCAGAAGTGTTCTAACACTCCTGAGGTGAGATCAAAATCAACCTTCTAAGCTTTGGCTTAGCAGGTACTACATGAAGAGGACGTACCTGGTACCAGCCCCTCCTTTTCTCTAAGCACTAATCGGTCTTTTTAAAGGGAATAAAACCCAATGATTATTTTATTTTATGTATATACTGTTAGCTGTATTGCTGTGGCTGGAATGGACCAAAAGATTGGATGAATAACACACTCCTCAAAAATGAAAGCTACGTATCCTATCCTTGTTCCTGCTTTTCCAACGATTCATCTTCTGGCTTCTGTACAATGGACACTGCTAATGGCACACTGGGCTCTGACTGGTGGCCTGTCCATTCTAAGGTAAGTGTCTTTAGGCTTTGAACAGGCCCCCCATCCAAAGTGCTCCTTGTGTGCTCCTTAGTACTCAAGAGAAGCTGGAGAGAGGGAAGCCTACTTCAGGGATCATCTTGCCATTGCTTCCCCATGGCCATTCTAGTTCCCTTCTCTAGGGTGTACTTCCCAGGTTTGGGACAGTATTATTATTATTATTATTATTATTATTATTATTATTATTAAGTATTGAATGGTCTCTAGCAGTGGAGCACCAGTCCTTTCATAATAAGGCTACTCAACAGTATTGTTGGCTCTTGTTCACATTTACTATCGTTTATTCCTTCCTTTTGCTATTTGTAGACCAGAGTATTATGACACCCTGAGGTGCCTTGAGATCCTTTCAAGGGTACCATGAGGTACCACATACAGATAGCACTGTTAGTTATGCAAACATGATTCACAAGTTTTAAACCTAGAAATTCCAAATAGGAATCCAGTGTTCAGAGCATCCATAGTATTCAGAGCATCCTGACCTGCGGTGGTCTTCTAGTGCTCTTTGTAACAAGTGCTCTGAATGAAAACCTAAAAGCTGGTGCTTTTTTCTGTGGGAGTGTCTCATACCTAAAAGGCTAAGAACTGCTATTGTAGACTCCTGCTTTGTACTCTTGCACCTTACTCATAACTGTGTTCCCTCCCCAGGGCTGCATGGATGGTGTGCAGAGCTGGTTAAGTGACAACCTTGGCATCATTCTTGGGGTGTGCACAGGAGTTGCTGCTATTGAGGTAGGCTTGTCACCGCTCCGTACATGGCAGCTTAACATCAGCTTAGCAGGCATTTCAGGCTGTTGTGGAGGAGTTTGGATTACAGCCCTGGTGCTAGCTTGTTGGTCTCAAAGGAAGCACAGCCATGAACACCCTGTCAAGCTTGATTACATTTTTAGTGGCTGTCAGTTAATAGAGTGGAATTGGGAATCTAATCAAGCATAACTTGTTACTCATGAGTGAGAAATGTTCCCAGGTTAGATAGGTTCTGGCCAGCATATCTGCTATCTAGCAATTTGCTGCATGCTTGACCAAGAATGTGGCTAACCAGTTACAGCTAGTGGAATCCCAGTGGTATCTACCATATTTACTTGAACATGGTAAGGTTTCCCTGCCCCCTTCGCTCCCCCTCCCCCCCCCCCCCCCCCCGACCGGGGGAAGAACCCTTCCCTCCCCCAAC